CTGAGATATTATCTTCTTAAATTGAATAGCTTCGCCTATATATCGTGTACGTGGTTGGCACATTTGAAGACATTACCTTCCGTTCAAACTACAGTATCTTTTTGCTCTGTCATCAAAGATACGTTTATTACAAATGACTCTTTATTAAATTGTTAGATAACATTTTTTCATACGTTTGATCAGCTGAAAACTTTATCGAAATGTAAACTAATTGTGAACATTGTGAATTGAATGTGTATTTAATTAGTGTTATAAACGGTAGGATACTTGTTATAACGCTAGGATTTCTTGTTATTAACAGTTCTTTCACTTTTTACACGTATATGAGACGTTAATTTACCTTAGACGAATATCTAAACTAGATTCCCTCCCAATGTCTATTCTACAGGACTTCAATACAATTCAGATCAAGAACACGAGATTAGCCTGACTAGAACGTTAATATATTTCAACACCAAAATCCTACACAATCCAACAACAAGGAACAGTCAATCAATAATAGTCAATACATGATAAGGATAGGGGAATATATATGACACATATAACACCTGTCACACTATCTATATGCCTGACTCAGAAAAATAACCAATCATTGTCATTCTCGCTCACACATCAATTAGCATAAAGAAATTTGTGGCGATTGTACAATTTTCATAGCTAGACCACCATTAAAAACTTTGAAGTACTAGATTGCCGTTTCGTTCTAGTACAGGATCATTCAACAGTCTATATTCACGACGCGGCATCCATGATTTGAACACATAATTTTTAGTCTCGCGAGTGGACACTTAACTTCTAAGCCACTGAGCCAGCATCTAACAGTAATAATGTCTAACTCCGATCAATTCACGATATTCCTCAATGGTCATCTATCGCCTGTGATGGATAGATGTCACACACCTGACATGGTTCTAATAAGAAAGCATAAACAGTGGAGTTCCACCATATAAAGTATAAGACAGTTATTCACACATTCCCAATAAGAGTTATTCATGAAAACTAGATAAATAAAATAAGTAATATTTATCAGTAACTGTAAGTAGTAGCTGTTAATTAGTAGTATATGATATCATAAACGTTTTCTTTTAGTTTAAGAAATGTAAACAGAAGTTTTAGAAAATCAATATATTGAGTCATAAAATGTAGATATTTTTTTTCTTTTTTTATTCCCAGATGATTGTCGGTTATATATCAGATTATTGTCTCCGGGTAGAATTCTATAAATTAGATTATATTGTAACCCATTTTGTAGTCTTGTAACCATGGACAATTTTTATAGTAAACTTTATAGATTTTATCATCAATCATAACACTAATCATTTAGATTTCTTATTTACACATAGTGTAATGAATTAGAAGGCAAATGAGGGACAATCTAATGGATTTGACATGAAAAATACAAACTATCTCACTAAAAATCTAACAACCATACCGTAAATACTTGTAAACTATCAATGAATTTTCTTAATTTTCATAGTTCCTTCTTCAAATATCAGTCAATAGTCTCCGATTATTATTGTTCATACATTTTCATGCCAATAGCGCTTCGCTCCCGTTCTTTCATTATCAATCTTCTAATGAAATACATTTTATACCTGACAATTGTTATATACTACTTATGTGAATATAAGTAACCCATAAAACAATGGATAGATTATATAAATTTTGACAAATATTCACAGACTACTTATATTCTAATAATAACAATCATCATATATATGTGATTTGAAGAAGTGATCAAAATCAAATCAACTTAATCTATAAATAGTATAACTCTTTGAACTTTATGAAAATTCTTTCTTATTATCAGAAAAAAACAATCAATACTGTAAGTAACCGTTTTTTATTGATTTATGAGATTAAAAGTTGTTTGTTTTTGTTTTAATTTAATTAAATCAGGTTTGTTTGCGTGATGTTTTTATTATTCCCCCTCCCCCCCCCAAAAAAAAAAAAACACCAATCCATCACTAAGTGATTTTCCAATAGTTTTTCATCATTGTTCAATTTATAACATTAAAAATAATAATAATAATGATCAGAAGGAGCTTTTGTGGAGATTTTAGTAATTTTTATATAGTTAAAATCATGAGTCAATTGAAGCTAGACCACCATGAAAAACCTGGAAGCACTGGACGGCCGTTTCGTCCTATTGTGTAACTCCTCACCAGTACACATCCATGATCTCACCTTGTGAAATTCAAACCCAAGACCTGTTGTGAGGTCTATAGTGAGATATCAACTCAATGAAGACAATGGTGAACGGTTGCTCAACTTCGTACATTTATTGAAGGTAGACATTAACACCGTTGGATGCCGGCCGGCTCAATGGTCTATAAGTTAGGCGTTCGCGCATGAGGCTAATTGGTCCTGGGTTCAAATCTCGCGAGGTAGGATCGTGGATGTGTAGTGCTGAGAAGTCCCACACTAGAACGAAACGGTCATCCAGTGCTTTCAGGTTTTCCATGATGGTCTAGCTTTAATTGACCCATGATTTCAACTATAAAATAATAATAATTATAATAATCAATGCTAACAAATCATTTAATCATTAACAAATATTTACTTTTTACCAATCTATTGTTTAGGCTTGCAAAATGTAACTCCAGCAGTTTAACACACACACACACAATGTTTGTTTGTTTTTTCAATGTATATATTTTTATCAGAAGGGGTTTTGTGGAGATTTTAGTATTTTATAGAGTTGAGATCATGAGTCAATTGAAGCTAGACTACCATGGAAAACCTGGAAGCACTGGACGGCCGTTTCGTCCTACTATGGGACTCCTCAGCAGTGCGCATCCACGGCCTCGACTCGCGAGACCCTAACCCAGTCCCATAGTAGGACGAAACGGCCGTCCAGTGCTTCCAGGTTTTCCATGGTAGTCTAGCTTCAATTGACTCATGATCTCAACTGTATATATTTTTTTTTAATTTTTATTATAATATGCAAAATTATAATTTATGTAAATGTCATCTAAATATATCAGATAGGGTGTTAATTAAAATTATTTTTTTCTGTATCTCAGTCTGCTAGTCAGCTACAACGTAAGACTAGGCACATTTATATAATACATTATTCATTTAACTGAATTCAATGATAATGATCTTAAATAATGAATCAATAAAAGTTATAACCATGGTAATTTGTGAATAAATTGTATCAGAAGGTGTAGGGGGGAGGAGGTGGATAGTTTGTGAAGATTTTAGTAATTTTATATAACTATGAAATACCTGAAAGCAATGGACGGATTTGAATCCCACGAGTGTAATGATAGATGTGTACTTCTGAAGAGTTCTATACTAGGAAAAAAACAGCCGTCCAGTACTTTCAAGTTTTCTATGATGATCTAGCTTTAATTGATTGATGAATTCAACTATAAAATAAAGTGTATGTTGCTTTTTATTTCATTAGAGTGTAAAGTGTGACCATTTCTTTATGTCATTCATTCATAAACAACTATTGTAAACTATAGTGTAAACTAGTGATCAAAGAGAATTTGATCATTTTAATAAACAGATATGATAAAAGAAGATACTTGTGAAATAGCCCTGATTTAAATTCTATCTGTTTAATTTCATGTGATTTACAAATGAATAAGTCAATTTTCTAAGTTTTAAGTAGGTACCTATAATTGATTGAAAGTGATGAACAAAGATATTGATATCCACTAGAGGTTAACATCTCAAACATCAAGAAAGTATCTGTGGTACAATTAAACTTTTCACTCTGTGAAAGCTTCTTGTAATATCCTATCCCTTTACTGGATGGATTATGAAGATTATATGATTACTTTGTCTTAAATCAACTTGTGAACTATTAAAAAAAAACAAAATAACAATAGATATATCTTCTTATTCAATCTACAGTTCTATAACTATGCAATCTAATAAACTAAACATGAGTAGAACATAAAATTTGTACATCTTTATGTAGTTGACATCATGAGTTAATTGAAGCTAGACCACTATGGAAAACCTGGAAGCACTGGACGTCCGATTCGTCCTATTATGGGACTCCTCAGTAGTGCGCATGCATGATCCCGCCTAGCGAAATTTAAACCCAAAACCTATTAGTCTCGCGCACGAGCGCTTAACTAAAAGACCACTGAGCCTGCCAGCATCCAAAGGTGGTCTAGATTCAATTGACTCATGCTTTCAACTATGAAAATACTAAATTCTCCACAAAACCCGCTCTGATCTATTCCGAATAGAACAGAAACTATAAAATGAATTAATGAAGCAAATAGATAAGGTTTTTGAACTTAGACTAATTTCATATTTTTTTAACTTTATTAATATTCAACCCCCATGTTATTTTTACACAGTAAAACTCATTTAAGCTTGATGTGTGGATGAGCATGATAATGATTGGTTGTTTTGCCAAGTCATACTTGTATATAGTGTGATAGGTGTCAAATGAGTTATATATTCCCCCTATCCTTATTATTATTATTATTGATTGTCCATTAGTTGTTAGATTGTGTCCAGTTTTGGTGTGGAAATATATTTACATTCTAGTCAGGCTAATCACGTGTTCTTGATCTGAGTTGTATTGATATCCTGTAGAATAAACACTCGGAGGGAATCTAGTGTAAATATTAATCTAAGATAAATTAACTTCCCATTCATGTAACAAAGAAAATAGACCGTAGTAACAAAGCTTTTGTTTATCTTCCATACAAAGATAATATCCATATGTGTTGTAAACAAAAGAAATAATTACTAATTCAAAGTATATTTTATAATCAGAAAGGGTTTTGTGGACATTTCAGTATTTTTCATAGTTGAAATCATGATTCAATTGGGTTCGAATCATGTGAGTGCGGGATCGTGGATGTACACTGCTGAGGAGTCCCATAATTGGATGAAACCGCCGTCCAGTGCTTCCAGGTTTTCCCTGGTGGTCTAGCTTCAATTGATGCATATTTCATAATTGAATACTTATTTTTACATGGATAATAACAATACAATGATTAATGTCATCTTACTAAAATGCTTACCTGATCTGAGGAAGACTAAATGCACGAACCCTTCCGTTTTTATGATGTTCTATATATATGTATATATCCAATGAACAGTATTGACTGAATTCAATCTAATCAAGATTACTTATTAGGTTAGTAATTAATTCCAATATTGTGCAAATATGATTCTTATATAAACATATATAGGTATGATAATGATTAATCCCAATAGTCAATATGTGTTCATTGAATTATATAAATGAACCAATCAAATAAATCGGTTATCTAATTAACTCAATTAACCAATCAAAATGCAGTAAAAAAGATTTTTTTACTTTTTAAAAAAAAAAAAAAAAATGAAAATAATCAGAAGGGGTTTTTTGTGGAGATTTAGTATTTGGGTTCGAATTTCGTGAGGTGAGGTTGTGGATGTGCACTGTCAAGGAGGAGTTTCACAATAGGACGAAACGGCCATCTAGTGCTTCAATGGACTCATGATTTCAACTATGAAAAATGAAAATAAAAAATATGTCTTAAGAAGTAAATATAAGTGTGTTTAAATAAATTTAGTATTGTTTGTTTAAATCTTCCCATCGATGTGTTAGGACTACAACTGGTCAGTCACTAATTGGCATATGTGCATACTGTGTGTATTGCCTCAATATAGCCTTAATTCACAAGCATTGTAAGCAAAGAGTGAACATCAACTCTGAGATGCAGGTACATCCAACTGACGAGTCCCAAATAGGACGAAATGCGCCTTGTCCTGGATTCCACTGCTAGTCACTATCCATCTTTGCTTACAATAACTGTGTTTGTTTGTTTGTTTCTTATCTCAAAATATCAAAAGAATGGATAGTTAAAGGAAATGATGATCAAAGGAAAGAAAATCAAAAACACATTTAATCTATACATTAATACTCTTATAAAATGATATTTATATTCTCTTTCATTTCTTAAAACTAGTTTATTCTAGTGAATTGAAAGTGGACATGAAAAAGATGAATAGCACCTGGGAAACAAATGGAAAGGAATGTCCAAGACAAAGTTGGATGGAGAGTGCTGATGGGTGGTTTGTGCTTCTCCATGAATGGGAACAGATATCATTGCAGAAATGTTTAACCTAATGGTTAACCAATCTTCAAATCTATAATATGTAAGAATACTAAGCTAAGAATGCAAAAGAAACTAGTGAATAGATAAATATCAAAAACATACAAAAAAAATTGGATTGTGTTCAATAGTATACTGATGCAAATGAAATAATCTGTTTGGGGAAAGGTGTAGCTTGAAAAATGTAAGACATATTTCTCTATCAGTAAAATAAAATCAGCTAAAGATCCGATTACTTACTTATTTACTTACGCCTGTTACTCCCAATGGAACATAGGCCGCCGACCAGCATTCTACAACCCATTTTGTCCTGGGCCTTCCTTACGAATTCTATCCAACTTTTGTTCATTTTTCTTATGTCTGTCTCCATTTCTCGGCATAATGTGTTCTTTGGTCTTTCTCTTTTCCTTTGACCTTCAGGATTCCATGTGAGGGCTTGTCTTGTGACACAGTTGAGTGATTTCCTCAATGTGTGTCCTATCCACTTCCAGCGCCTCTTCCTGATTTCTTTCTCCGCTGGATGAAATCTGGTTTGTTGTCTACCAATTACATTTAATAAAGTATATATTGTTGTTTAATGTAACTTGTGTACATTGTAGTCTGTTGAGAAAGATTGAAAAGCAAGATAGAATACAATTATTTACTGGTTCCTAATCATGGATAAGAATTCATGACCTGTGGGACTTAACTAATTTATAGAAAATATTACTTCATTGTTTTCATTCACATAGTAGTTGGAATCCGGCTTCATAATTCAATAATATGAAGCTTATCAAAAGATCTGTAAGTGTTAGGTGACGACAAGGTTGTAAACTGATGAAAAGTCTTTAAAATAGGATAAAATAAAATAGAAGTATTATCTGGCTCTTAGTGTTTATCCAGATGATATTTGACTTTATTTAATCTCTACAACTCAGAATAAGATTCACCTTATTAGTAAAGTAATGATTATTCAATAAAGAGCAAAAACGTCATTATCACCTTACATTTTCATTTCTTCATTGAATTGGACTTGTTTGGTTTAGTTCTCATTCTCGACAATGAAAAAATCGACATACAAATACTTAAAAAGACCAATTTCAGAGAGTAAAAGTTACATACAGCATGAAAACATTATATACAAGCGATTGCTTATACATAAATGGAGTATTTGTGAACTCATTTTATGCCATAGGAGTTATGAAGCCAAGAGCTACATCAAATAACAGCCTAACAACCTAATGATTCTTGTTTATGTCGTTAATATGCGTCAATGCGTTGAACAATTTCATTTTTATGTAACCAAAATCAAAAATGTTACTTGTATATTAAAGCTCTATTCGTACCATTCAAGCATGGTTACCATAAATAGGCCAAAATTATTTGTTGAACAGGATGTACATCTACCAACAAGATACCAATCAATTGTAGTCCTAAATAACAATGATAAGATACATGTAAACAACAACAAGTAAATTTAAACTTCACCCCATTGCATAAGCAAGTGGCTATCAGGACTCAGTAGCTAAGTGGATAACGTGATGGCGTTTGAAGCGAACGATATTGGGTTCGAGTCCTACATTGAACATCAGCTCTGAAATGAAGATACATCCATCTGACGAGTCTCAAATAAGACAAAACTCGCTTTGTCCTGGATTCCACTGCCAACCACTATTCATCTTTGTTGAACAGTTTCAAAAAAATAAGATCAGAAAACTAATTATTATCATATGTAATAAAAATTTTTTTCCCAAAATTTATTGATCAATAATCAATGAATAATACAAAATTTTCATAACACATTTACCTTATGGAGTGTTTCGTTTTTGTTTTTGTACTAGTTCCCACAACAAAACAAAAAATGACAAAACAACAAAAAAATTGTTCACCCGGTAACATCACTTATCAATGTCAATTTGTCTGACTTGTGTTCAGTTAATTTTTAATCGATAGATTAGAAATTAGTTGTCATATGAATGCAATACAAATAGAATTGATCTTTACAAATTACCCCCATTGAATAGTTTTATGGAAACTTCAATTTTAATGAGAAGAGGTTTTGTTTGTGGATATTTCAGTATTTTTCATAGTTCAAATCATGAGTCAATTGAAGCTAGACCACTATGGAATACCTGGAAGCACTGAACGGCCGTTTCGTCCTATTGTGAGATTCTTCAGCAATGCGCATCCACGATCCCGTCTCACAAGCGAGATTCCAAACCAGGATCTACCAGTCTTTCATCAGACTACTTAACCGATAAACCACTGATCAGGTATTCAACGGTGTTAATGTCTAACTTCAATCAATCCACGAAATTTGAACAACCGTTCACCAATTAGCTCGAGACTGGTAGGTTGAATCTCTCTCGTGAGGCAGGATCGTAGATACGCACTGCTGAGGAGTCTCATAGTAGGACGAAAAGGCCATCCAGTGCTTCCAGGTTTTCCATGGTAGTCTAGCTTCAATCGACTCATGATTTCAACTATGAAGAATACTGAAATCTCCACAAAACCCCTTCTAATAATTATAGTAATAATAATACTAATAATAATGATATTAAGATCTCACATTTCATTTCTAATTTTTATAGAAAAAAAACTCGGATATTTTTTCTTTCGTTCAGTTTCCAATTTTTGATTCCTTTATTATCTTAGTTTCATGTTCAACCGCCCACACTTCTTTGTTCTCATTTCAATGACTATTCCTTTCTTCATTATAATTTCATGTAAATGGTTTCTTTTTTTTTTTATTTGACTATAAGTGAAAGACTTTATCTCATTAATGACTTGAAGTGATTATTATGATTATGATTATCTTGATTTCAGTAGTATAACTGATTTTGGGTATTGATATCTCTTGGTTATATCTTCTTGGGATAGATAAAATTCAAAGAATTCATACTTCATATTATGTCCAATTCTATTGTAGGGAAAGTGGAATGTTACTGAACCCGTAGCCAAATCATCCTGCAATTGGATCATTGAATATCAAACAGTTCATCAATCCCCGTCAAGGTCAAGTATAACGAATACGCCATTGACTGGTCCATGCGGTGGTGGTCACATTTTTGCTTGTAACACAATTTTATATGAATGTTTTTTATTTTTATTAATCGACTATAAAAGAAAGACTTTGTTTCACTAATGACTTGAAGTGATTATTATTATTATCTTGATTTCAGTAGTATAACTGATTTTGGGTATTGATATCTCTTGGTTATATCTTCTTGGGATAGATAAAATTCAAAGAATTCATACTTCATATTATGTCCAATTGTATTGTAGGGAAAGTGGAATGTTACCTAGCCCTAACCAAATCATCTTGCAGTTGAATCATTGAATATCGAACAGTTTATCAATCCATGTTAAGGTTAGGTATAAACAACGGGCATCAGTTAATCGTACGCCATGGACTGGTTCATATGGTGGTGGTCACACTTTCGCTTGTACTTACTCTAACTAATATATTTCTGTAGTAACATCCTTTGCGTTATATGTTCTTCAAACTAGCAATAGTAATTTGATATGAAGAAGGGGTAAATCACGTTAGGTGCTAACCCAGAGATACGATATAATAGGCGGCTTGCTTAAACATCTAAGCCACCTGTTCTTGCTATCTAGATATTTCAACAAGTTATCTAAATTTGTTTGTTTTAATACATCATTATGGCTCTTAATCGCACAACCTATTCAGGTGAGTTTCTGAAATGTGTACAATCTTTCGCTGTAAAGGTTACAAAAGGCCTAATCAGAGATATTGTGTTTGTTAAGAATATGCAGTGAAAATAATGTACATTATTCAGAAGTCGATTGACTGGACTGCTAACTTCTAACTAGCGATCAATGAATATTTATCGTCAGGATCGACGAAGAAGTAAGAAACGGAGATATTTAGTTTTGTTTCTGACCCCTAAACTAAGCAAAACTACATTCCTGTATTTTATGAACTTTCAAATAAGGTTGCAATTTGGACAATAGATTTGTTTATCGTTTACATTACAGTACACTAATGATGTAATGTCAACACCTATTCATTAAATTGATTTATAAATCATGAGTGAATTGAAGCTAGACCACTATGGAAAACCTGGAAGCACTGGATGGGTTATAATAGAATATATGTTT